TCAACACAGATTAAAGAACACCTGATTTTAATCACTTCCCCTACCTTTAAGCCATGCCCAGACTGAAGAAAACACCTTTTCATTTTCATTTATTAATAAGAAATATTTCTATACAATAAATGCAATTTTAAAGAAACATCATAAAAATGGTGTAAAAAATAATAAAAGATTTCCTCAAAGTTTGTAAAAATATTTTCTTGGCAGATTCCAAATCTTCCAGTACACAAAAATGAAAAGAACGAATCATACAAAATAACCCACCATTATAAAATATTGACAAGAGATGGCGTACCATTTTACTATACAAAAGATAATATGCTCAAAATGTTAATAAAAACATCTAAAGGGAAAACACAGATAAAAATCTCACGCTTAATTGAGAAACAATCATACATTACGAAGATACAGAAACCCCCCCCCAATAAAAAGTCGGAGAGTAATGTTTGTAATGAGGGATGCTGTGTAACGAAGGAGAGTTAAGACCACTTCTGCCTATATAAACAGCACACGTAAATGTGTATATATCTGTACAACACAACATTATGGCGCAGACAGACAGCTGACCGCCATCACTTGTGCTGGCGTATGTTAAAAATTTCCATAAATTGTACCAAGTGTTTCCAGTTTGCAATGCCAACAGAAAGTATTTAATACCAGGAAATGCTTCCTGCCTCATTTACACTTACATCACCACTACATTCAATACATTCAAATTACAGATATGAGCAATACTTTCAGCGTTCTGCCAATTCTAAATACAAACATAACGTTTTCTCAATACAAATGTAAGTGGGTTTTTTAAATACAAGCATAAGATTTTTAATACGAATCTACAGCTTTTGCACATTATTGTCTCAAGTATATTTTTGTTTGTACATTTGAATTAGAAATTTGAAAGCTTTGGTATGTTCTGATTACAAAAATGAAGTTTTTGTACAATTTAATTACAAATTTGAAGTTTCAGTACAATCTCCATTTTGTAACTACAAATATAACGTTTGAGTACAATGTAGCTACAAATAGGAAGTTTGTGTACAATGTAGCTACAAATAGGAAGTTTGTGTACAAAGTAGGTACAAATATGAAGTTTGTGTACAATGTAGGTACAAATAGGAAGTTTGTGTACAATGTAGGTACAAATAGGAAGTTTGTGTACAATGTAGGTACAAATAGGAAGTTTGTGTACAATGTAGGTACAAATAGGAAGTTTGTGTACAATGTAGGTACAAATAGGAAGTGTGTGTACAATGTAGATACAAATAGGAAGTTTGTGTACAATGTAGGTACAAATATGAAGTTTGTGTACAATGTAGATACAAATATAAAGTTTTAGTACAATGTAGCTACAAATATAACGTTTGTATACAATGTAGCTACAAATATGAAGTTTGTGTACAATGCAGGTACAAATAGGAAGATTGTGTACAATGTAGCTACGAATAGGAAGTTTGTGTAAAATGTAGCTTCAAATAGGAAGTTTGAGTACAATGTAGCTACGAATAGGAAGTTTGTGAACAATGAAGCTACAAAAAGGAAGTTTGTGTACAATTTAGCTACAAATAGGAAGGTTGTGTACAATGTAGCTACGAATAGGAAGTTTGTGCACAATGTAGCTACAAATATGAAGTTTTTGTACAATTTAGGTACAAATAGGAAGTTTGTGTACAATGTAGGTACAAATAGGAAGTTTGTGTAAAATGTAGCTACAAATATAACGTTTGTGTACAATGTAGCTACAAATATGAAGTTTGAGTACAATGTAGCTACAAATAGGAAGTTTGAGTACAATGTAGCTACAAATATGAAGTTTTTGTACAATTTAGGTACAAATATAACGTTTGAGTACAATTTAGTTACATATACGAAGCTTGTGTATGATATGATGGTACATTCTGATTACAAACGTAACTTGTTTGCACATGGTTTTTTTTTGTTTTTTGAATATCTACGCCTTGTAAATATCACTGGAAAACATTTGTATGCTATATAACTTTGACAATGAGGATATGTAAACATAGATACAATCTGTATCCATCTCATTCTTCATCTCAAATGGTCAATATTGTGTACCAACACCTTGATCCGAACATTTATAGTCAAATTTAAAACGTAATACTGAAGCAAACTATATCTGCTTATAACCTAGCTGTCCTTATACATTTAATTCTTATGACTAGATCTAACACCGAACTCCAGCATCCCCACCGCTTCCCATGGACTAGTTATAGACGGAGAAATAACTATGGTGACAAAATCTCCAGCATCCTCACCGCTTCCCACAGACTAGCTATAGACGGAGAAATAACTATGGTGACAAAATCTCCAGCATCCCCACCGCTTCCCATGGACTAGTTATAGACAGAGAAATAACTTTTGGTGACAAAATCTCCAGCATCCTCACCGCTTCCCACGGACTAGTTATAGACGGAGAAATAACTATTGGTGACAAAATCTCCAGCATCCCCACCGCTTCCCACAGACTAGCTATAGACAGAGAAATAACTATTGTTGACAAAATCTCCAGCATCCACACCACTTCCCACGGACTAGTTATAGACAGAGTAATAACTATTGGTGACAAAATCTCCAGCATCCCCACCACTTCCCACGGACTAGTTATAGACAGAGAAATAACTATTGGTGACAAAATCTCCAGCATCCCCACCGCTTCCCACGGACTAGTTATAGACGGAGTAATAACTATTGGTGACAAAATCTCCAGCATCCACACCGCTTCCCACGGACTAGTTTTATAGACAGAGAAATAACTATTGGTGACAAAATCTCCAGCTATGCAGTGCCACAAACATCCCCATTCGTTAATGGAAGAGAAATTACTTCAGATCATTCACAAGACTGACTAACCCAATGATTAGCACAAAGACCTTTTAAGATTCCAGGCCCTGGGACCTTAAAACAGTCTTAGACTTAAGGCCGAAGTTCTCTACTTTGAGATGTACAAGTCAAGTCATATTTTGTCTACTAATTCAATAATATTAGAACATCAAGGCTAGATTTCTTCACCAGAAATCCCTGACTACTGTAACTAATCAACACATACTCTCCCTCCCCNTGAATTCATTCATATTAACATTGTTCATCAATAACAAATTAAAAAAAAAAAATTGGTGAATTTCTGAAGAATTAAATAAGTTCATTTCTCACAACAAACAAAACAGAGTAGAGTAAAAATTCCAAGATTGGGACAATGACTCTTTCAGTGTAAATCTGACTTCATTAAGTGTAGGAGAGTTGTCTCCCTTATCTTGTGTCAAAATATGCCACTGAGATAAAGGAAGATAATTCTACTGTTCTAATGAGTATTCACACATTTAGTGTTGTGTCCTGATCAGCCAGTATACCTACATCTATTGTAACAGGATTGGAGAGCAGACGAAATACAGATTTATATGACAGAGATTGACAGGAAACTATGAATGACTAGTAGGAGAGTGGCAGGTAGCACACAGATTGGTAGGGGAGGAGCAAGGAGGACAGAGATTGGGAGGGGAGAAGCAAGTAGGACAAAGATTGGTAGGAGAGAAGCAAGTAGGACACAGATTGGTAGGAGAGTGGCAAGTAGGACAGAGATTGGTAGGAGAGAAGCAAGTAGGACAGAGATTGGTAGGAGAGAGGCAAGTAGGACAGAGATTGGTAGGAGAGAAGCAAGTAGGACACAGATTGGTAGGAGAGAAGCAAGTAGGACAGATATTTGTAGGAGAGAGGCGAGTAGAACAGAGAGTTGGATAGGAAAGGGGCAAGTAGGACAGAGTTGAGAAGGAGAAGGGGGCAGGAATTAAGGTTTGTTCATGTTAGGTAAAACAGCTCGAAGGGGATGGAACAAAGGTCACATTGAGGAGACAGGAGGGGGCAGGAATTAGGGGTTGTTTATGTCAAGGTTACAAGGGACAGATAATGAGTGACACACCAGGCCTTAGTCAGTCAAATTGCATTGTGTTTTCCTTCTTTCTAATACACTTCGTGGAGAACCAGAAACTTACCTTACAGACAACAATAATATATCTCAGCAACCCGGAATCCTCTGCCACATGAATCACAGCAGTAAGTCTTCACAAAATACCGACACCTACCTTCATTTACGAAATGTACAGCTGAAATAAAGCCTTTTTAATCACTGATCAGAGTAATTGTAATTCATTATCATAATGATAGCGAGAACAAATTGATTATATTTAATTTACATGTACCAGCAAACTCTTTTTTAAAACAAATAACGTAATTGTAGCCCAGAACTTGACATGTAAAACAACAATAACTATAAGAATTTTTATTTGTGAATTTTTTAAAATATTTTCATTTATTTATATTTTCTTTTTTCTGAAAAATTGTAGAAAAAGAAATCAAATGAAATTCCATGTTGAGATTTTGATGTTTTCATTTTCATTATTATGTTTTTTTAATATTTTTAAAATTCATTCCCCTAACATCAAGACTAATATCCTGATGATTTGTGAGATAACTTTAGTCATTTGGATGAAAGTTCCCTCCCCCCCCCCCCCCCCCGCCCCCCCCCCCCCACCCCCCAACATTATCATGATACTGTTTCCATTCCCGTATATATTATTGTGAAATTGTCAAGTCTAGGCTACCATCAACAGTAGATTGTCAAATTGTTTACTTTTTAATCCATTAACAAATTTCAAAGAAGATTTGATGCAGATTAATAAATTGTGTATTCAAATGAATATCAAAATTTCTAAATGGATGAAAAACCTTTACTCAACAGTTAAAAGTAAAATGAACTTCTCTCTCTGTAGAAAAAGTACTTGAAGAAACAAGAATGCCCTATGATTTAAAGAAACAGTGCATTTACCATAAAATAAACTTTTTGAAGATATCTTTTTTTTAAATATCTGCTGTAAACGGACTCCACTTCAAAAAGAAACTTTTACTACCACAAAAACAATTTCACCATCTACTGTTTTTGCGAAAACAAGACAAACATTCAATACAACATAGATATTTTGGGAGTGACCTACCTTGAGTCGCATCATTCTACCATCAGGTGGCACTGTTGTATGTGATTCCAAGATGGTGGCTGTCTGTTTCTCCATCTTTGGTTGACTCAGCTTGCGCACTGGAGTTGTCAGCCATTTTCTTAAAGACAGACAAAAATACTCAATTTTGTAAAAATCGTAAGCATTTAGTAATTCAAAATTCTGAAATAAAACAACTTGGAGTTAATTAACATGTATGTATATCTGCTGAAGTGGGTTATAGCCACTACAGCAAGACATGGATACCACTCTTAATGCAATAAGGGCAACCCAGGGATTATAACAACAAAACTTGAATGCTTATCACAAAATATCAGATTTTTCGGAGTTAGTTACTAGGTTTTGTAAACAACTCCTGTCATCAAAATGGTGCTAGATTTTGTAAACAACTCATATCATCAAAATGGTGCTAGGCTTTGTAAACAAGTCCAGTCATCAAAATGGTACTAGGTTTTGTTAGCAACTCCTGTCATCAAAATGATGCTAGATTTTGTAAACAACTCCTGTCATCAAAATGGTGCTAGATTTTGTAAACAACTCATATCATCAAAATGGTGCTAGGCTTTGTAAACAACTCCAGTGATCAAAATTATGCTAGTTTTGTAAACAACTCATGTCATCAAAATGATGCTAGGTTTTGAAAACAACTCATGTCATCAAAATGATGCTAGATTTTGTAAACAACTCATATCATCAAAATGGTGCTAGGCTTTGTAAACAACTCCTGTCATCAAAATAGTTCTAGGTTTTGTAAACAACTCCAGTCATCAAAATGATGCTAGATTTTGTAAACAACTCATATCATCAAAATGGTGCTAGGCTTTGTAAACAACTCCTGTCATCAAAATAGTACTAGGTTTTGTAAACAACTTCAGTCATCAAAATGGGGCTGGGTTTTGTAAACAACTCTTGTCATCAAAATGGTGCTAGGCTTTGTAAACAACTCCTGTCATCAAAATAGTACTAGGTTTTGTAAACAACTCCAGTCATCAAAATGATGCTAGGTTTTGTAAACAACTTCAGTCATCAAAATAGTACTAGGTTTTGTAAACAACTTCAGTCATCAAAATGGTGCTAGGTTTTGTAAACAACTTCAGTCATCAAAATGGGGCTGGGTTTTGTAAACAACTCTTGTCATCAAAATAGTGCTATCTCAGTAACATTGAACAGAAATAAAGCTTCAATGAAACAAAAAATTACTGATCTATTAATGAGAAATCAACTTGGGATCTCTTTGTCTCTGCCAAAGTGGGGATATATAGTCAAAATACAAGGTACGTTGTTGGAGGGAAAATAAGTCTAGATATACACCCCACTGGTAATTTACCCTCTGCCAGCGCCCTTACTATGTCAAAACAGTACGATACCAATCGTTAACTTGTAAACATCAGGACTATTTTAAGATATCTTCAAATATTATATCTCCGCGTCAATACATCTATAAATACCACAGCAAGTCTATAACCTTATCACAACTATAAGCCTACAAATCAATCTACAATGATAGCATCTTACTGTAAGTGTTATGTTAGGCATTACAAACATACAACATCGAGTTGTATAGGAATACCAGATTTATTTAACTGAGGAACATCTCAATAAAGTGTCAAATCTCCAGATTGGTACAACATTGTGTATGTCCAGAAGCTAAAACGAATTCCAAATACTTCATAAATCAAAACTTTTTATAAAATTTTCTTTATTTTGGAATGTTGTCTCAGACAGGAACACACATAACTGTATATCTAAAGTAGAATAAGGAATAACATTTAAAAGATGAAAATGAAAACTACCAGATTTTGGGTTATGATATATATGTCAATCAAAATCCAGATAAACAAGAGTGTCTGATGATATTTCAGCCAATCAGAATCAAGATAAGACTTTGCAGTGGTATTTTGGTCAATCAGAATCTAGGGGGAAAGATTTTCATGATGTCTAATCTAAACAAATTCAGTTTGCTTTTTTGTTTATAGAATCGGTTTGAAGATAATTTCTGATGATATATCTGCCAATCAGAAAGTCTGTATTACGGTAAAACATTAATAGGTGCTTTCTCTTGCCCATTCACACATGTAAACTTTTGCCCTTTCACAATTTTGCCCTTTCACACATGTAAACTTTTGTCCTTTCACACATGTAAACTTTTGCCCTTTCACACATGTAAAACTTTGGCCTTTTTCACACATGTAAACTTTTGCCTTTTTCACACATGTAAACTTTTGCCTTTTACAAACTTTTGCCTTTTTCACACATGTAAACTTTTTTTGTTGATATAAACTTTTGAGACCAGCTACATCTCTAAACACAAAACTGTATAAATACAAAGAAAATGAAATTCCTGTTCTGTGAGAGTTTTGTGACACAACAAACCAGTAACCATAATTGTTTATGATGATGTGTGACACAGTGTCAGCCAATCGGATTTCAGATAGATAGTATTATGATGTCATGACTAAAAGATCACGGTTTCTGATGACGTGTCAGCCAATTAGAGATAGAAAAGACTTCGTGATAATTGTGAAAAGATTCAGGTAGCACAAGACTAAGGCTTTTTGGTTGTGCTACATGAATCTTTTCACAATCCATACTTACCAACCAAAGAAAATGTTTAAAAAATTTGTGATAATGTATCAACGAATCAAAACCAAGTTTAGGGTTTCTTTTGTTTTCGGCCAATCAGAATTAAGTTATGTACTCACCTGAAACTTGGTCTTCTCTTGCTCATGGGTGAGGCAGCATTCAGCGCAACCATGGAGGAGCTTGGACTTGCATCTCCCGCCATACCTAGGGTCTCTACACAGACAAATATATCAAGTTTACAATCATCTTCCGTCATACTTAGGGTCTCTACACAGACAAATATATCAAGTTTACATTCATCCCCCGCCATACCTAGGGTCTCTTCACAGACAAATATATCAATTTCACCCTCCCCCCCCGCCATACCTAGGGTCTTTACACAGACAAATTTATCAAGTTTACAATCATCGCCTGCCATACCTAGGGTCTCTTCACAGACAAATATATCAAGTCTACAATCATCTCCCGCCATACCTAGGGTCTTTACACAGACAAATTTATCAAGTTTACAATCATCCCCCGCCATACCTAGGGTTACACTCATCTCCCACAAAACCTAGGGTCTCTACAGACAAATATATCAAGTCTACAATCATCTCCCGCCATACTTAGGGGTACACTCATCTCCCACAAAACCTAGGGTCTCTACAGACAAATATATCAATTTCACCCTCCCCCCCCGCCATACCTAGGGTTACACTCATCTCCCACAAAACCTAGGGTCTCTACAGACAAATATATCAAGTCTACAATCATCTCCCGCCATACTTAGGGGTACACTCATCTCCCACAATACCTAGAGTCTCTACACAGACAAATATACCAAGTTTCCACTCATCTCCCGCCATCCCTAGGGTCTCTACCCAGAAAAATATATCAAGTTTACCCTCATCTCCCGCCATACTTAGGGTTACTCTCATCTCCCACAATACCTAGGGACTCTACACAGACAAATAAATCAAGTTTACAACCATCTCCTGCCATACCTAGGGTCCCTCCACAGACAAATATATCAATTTTACATTCATCCCCCGCCATACCTAGGGTTACACTCATCTCCCACAAAACCTAGGGTCTCTACAGACAAATATATCAAGTTCACACTCATCCCCCGCCATCCCTAGGGTCTCTACACAGGCAAATATATCAAGTTTAAAATCATCCCCCGCCATACCTAGGGTTACACTCATCTCCCACAAAACCTAGGGTCTCTACAGACAAATATATCAAGTTTAAAATCATATCCCGCCATACCTAGGGACTCTACACAGACAAATAAATCAAGTTTACAACCATCTCCCGCCATACCTAGGGTCTCTACACAGACAAATATATCAAGTTTACACTAACTGTGGCACCAGTATGTTTCAATGAAGGAGATTTGGCTTTCCTTAACAGATATAATGGACCTGGAAGGGACCCAAGCATCCACATAAAGCAGCCAACCCTCCCTCATTAGGAGGAAGACTCCCTTCTTTTGACCAAAATGTACCAATCTCCCTCAAAACTCCCTCATTCAATTTCAAACTCACACAAACTAAAAATCTACATGCTGTGGTCAAATGATCTCCTAGTTACTGCAGGGTGTGTGTAATGATCATAACAGGTGTGTCTGAATCAAAGAATTATGTTTTTAAGTTATTTTGATACATAAAAAGGGAAAGATAAATTGAGCAAACTTAAGCAGTTTCATTCACATTTCACACACTTTCTCGCTCACTGGAAAAGTGGAATGAGGGAGGTTTCAGAGAGACCTATGCATCCATGACTTTATAAATTACACTGCACCCTCCGCTAAAATGATCACAGATCTTGTCTGTGATGGCGTCTGTTAGGATATTAACACACTAAAACTGATCATTATCAGAAAATATTTATTATCCTAGATTTATGATCAGTCAGCCAACTTCATTATCTTTCAATATAATTTCTACATGTCATTGCCGAATTAATTCCGACAAATTTTGTCATTATGTTCATCATGGCAACAGGCTACAAATATACTAAAATAGCAATTGAAAAACTAATTCAAGGTATCTAAGTTAATTAATATAGATTTATAAATCTTTAAAAAATCTAAAAATAAATGATTTTGATAAAGTCATTTATGAAAAGATATTGCAGAACAATTTCAAAACTAATTCTGCTTGTGAAATGCTATTCAACAGGATTTTTACAATCTTCAAAGCTCTAAAAATACAACAAATTTGCAAAGGTTCTTACGACTTTTTGCAAACATGTTAAATTTTCTGTGTAACAAAACTTAATTACTCTCAAATAAACTATTTCTGTTTAACAAATTTATTTTTATAAAAGTCTGCGCAATTAAATGGAATCACTTTGAGGCTTGGGGCTCACTATCTCCCATCTAAAGATAACTGTTAATGTGTATAGCATTTCCTCCTGGTGATAATTATCTTAACTCTTGAAATATTCATCGACTTCTGCCAGTTCGTATCATCAGAGCATCAGTCGAAGCTACCTTTTTTCATTTCAATTTTAATTTTTTATCTTTATAATGCAACATTTTCAAAATAAAATTTCATTTTTTATCTTTATAATGCAACATTTTCAAAATAAAATTTCAAAGTGCTATAAATAATCACCAAAACAAAGAATTTCTCTAAATCAAATTATTTTATTTAAACCATATTTTCATTTTTCAAATATTCAAAACTTTTTCCAATTTTTTTTTGAATTGAAAGGATTAATTGAATACTGACCGTCGAGATCCATACTGCTCCTTGATCCAGGCCCCCGTACCACTGGCAGGGGTTTGAGGGCTGACAAGGGTACCAGTCCCTGACTGGGTTCTCCATCCCCGGGGGGCGGAGAGAGGGATTTCACCAGGCACCAGTTTGGCTCTCCGGGAACAGGGTCCAATATTTCAACTTGCTGGCCCCGCTGGACTGTCAGCTCGGAGTTATTGGCTGCCGAGTAATCCTCTATCACAATGCTTATGTCACCCTGTAATACAGTAAGTAAGAAACTATAACTATGTTTTATTCAAACTTTGGAAACTCCTTGTAAAAAAGGTCAATTAAGTAAATGAATTAATTAAAAATTAACTTAAATATTGAATAAATATTAAATCTACAATAAAGTAAGAAAATATTTAGAAAGTTTTTCACATTTACAGTTTATTTTTACAGTAGGACATTGTGAAAGAAAAGCCATCCTGTGTGAGGCCGACATAGATCTTTGACCCTCGGGGTATGATATTTCACGTTTAGAACTTGACAAAGTCTCATGATTGTAAAGCGGGTTATTAATCCCTCTACTCTCAATAAATTGCAAGTGGAATGAGAACACTGACAGGTCAGCAAAGGCTCTGCCATGTGCCTGACCCCCTCCCTCCCTCAGTCTATTAATAGTAACAGTAACTTTGAACTTGACCTTGAATTTGACCTTAAAAACTTTTAAACCCCTATTGCACATCTACATATCACAGTGTACCACAATGTCAAATTTCAAAAAGATGATTAGACTTTTGGATTCTGAGATTTGGACTAACCCCCCCCCCCCCCCCCCCACATAATCTATTTTTAGTAACAGTGACCTTGACCTTGACCTTGACATAAAAAACTTTTAAACCTTGTTGCCCATTTGCATTTCAAAGTGTATTACCTTGTCTAATTTCAGAAAGATTAGACTTTTTCTTTCCGAGATATTTTCTGGAAATGAAAGTGCAGACAGACAGACACCGTGATTACTATAGGGCACAACCATCTCCAATGTAGGGCCCTAGCTAACTATAAAGCGGTCTATCAGTCGATACAGGAAATTAGTATCTTATTGTACAGCATATAACGAAACTGTTTAATTTTAACTCTTCATCTTAAATTATTTTGTACAACAAGGGATTCATTATATTCTTTTTCTATGACTTTACATCTCATTTCTTGACTGAAGTCAATCAGTTCATGGAAAAAAGAGGGTTGATTTTGTGTCTGGTTCTTATCAAGTCAATTAGGAGAGAGTGAAAATCTAAACAAACAGTCATTAACTACGAACACAACTAATTCATTTCTGCTGAAAACAAAATTAATGATTTTATTTTTGGCCCTTAAACTGTTTTGATGCGAGACATTTCTTGGCTGCAGAATATATCCACAAACAGGACGGACATTAGCACTCGCTTAGCTCCCGTCAAACAAGAACACCACTAAACCTGTTTAAGACATCACATCCTACTGGTGTTGTGAATCGGAGGAAATCTGTTGGGATTATTGACGACAATCAAAACATCTAAACTTTGACAAACATCACAGGGAAATATTTCAAACAAATTTACCAAAATATTGATGTATGCTGTGAAAGTGATGAGGGTTTTGACTTTATGACGTAATTTAGGAACCTAGAATCAAGGGTTAACTCATTGACCCCTGAAGACACACTTGAACCCTTCCAATTCAAAGGTTGGAATAGTTCATTATAAAATTTCAGGGGTGAATGAGTTAACTTTGTACAGTCACGTAGTACTTTAAATGAAACCGTTTATATACACTTTCCTTTTAACAATCTAAATGTAGCTTACCAGAAATCTATAATAAAAAAAAGAGTAAATCTGCCTGTTAGCAATCCCTAAAATAACATTTCACATGGCTGACCAACAGAAAATAAATGACGTCAAAATGCACCAATTAACACTAATTAATTATCAGTCAACTGATCACTTAATTAGCATCATTTGTGTAATCAATCAGTTTCGTTAATTACAATAAATGATCAGAGTGACACTTAACACTCTTTATGTCTCACTCTTCCCCTTTCCCCTGACCATTCAAATCTGTCCCATCCCCTCCCCTCCCTATTTTTCATTATTATGTATCTACCCTTTCTATGCCTTTCCCCTCCATCCCTGTGACCAATTCCTGCCACCAACCTTTCATCAACAGTCCCCTTCTATAAACAAAGCAATTTTTCCAACCCCGCGACCTCAACCCCCAATGTATGTACTTCCTTTCTCTTAACCAAACACTCCCTCTCCAACTTGCCCCCCCCCCCTCAATGTATGTACTTCCTTTCTCTTAACCAAACACTCCCTCTCCAACTTGCCCCCCCCTCCCAATGTATGTACTTCCTTTCTCTTAACCAAAC